CCTTGGCTGTTGCTGGCAGTGGTGGTGATGGCACTGGAAACGCTGTGTCTGTCCCCGATATCCCTGCCCTCTGGCCTGGATGCTTCTGATCCTCTGCGGCTGCCTCTTGCGTCTCTGCTTTGGTCTCCCAGGAGCCTCTACCCTGCCATAGCAATGAGGATAGGTGGCTCATGTCAGTTGGCACATGGGTACAGAAAGCTTGTGGCTTTTGGCATGAGAGTGCATGTGTGGGCCACCCTTTCTATGTACACAGGCAGCTCTCCTCATGCTCATCAGGTCAACCTGGGCCATCTCTGTTCTATGTACTGCTGCTCCAGTGCTGTAGTGTAGACCCAATTAAACCTCCTTTGGATTTTATTTTCCCTACTTGTGATTTCTATCTTGAGTAGGGTAGGCTGAACCTGCTGCACTATTTGCTGGTAACACTGAAGGATGTTGGCACTGAAAGTGGCCAGCAGCTTACACTGGTAATACTGTGGGTGGCTCCCAGCCAGAAAGTGACAAAGAACAAGGAGAGCTTCTACCCCTGAGGGATTGAAAAGCCCTGGAAGAGAGGTTGGGAGCTGCTTGCTTCAGCTGCTTTTAGAATAGCAAGGATAGCTGCTAACACCAGGAGCTGAGAACTGCTGGCATTCAGAGTGGGGGACACCGGCACAGTTGCACTGGTGGAGAGGAGCGGGGGGATACACTTTACTTATTCAAGATTTTTATCTGATTTGAGCATAGGAGCCCTTGGCCAACGGGTAGCACCCCTGGGCTACCTAGCTCCAAGTATGAGGGCAGGCTGAGGGGTGGCTATTTGTGGCTGTAGTTATAGCATGGATCAGCAGGTTGGGGATGGAAGTACAGTTCTGTGAGGTACAAGAAAGGGCCAGTGAGGAGGCAAATCCACAACTGGGGCAGAATACCACAGATTCTGAGAAGTCTGAGTTCTGGGCAGGTGCAGCAACCTATGCACACAGAAGGCAGGAGGACATGTTTCAACCCATAGCTGATGGGTATCCTTTGCTCCTACATACCTACATGTGGGGTATGGACGCCTATACTTGGCATTCACCTAGCCCACAAGCTAGGGATGGTTTGGTGCTCCCCTACCATCCCAGGCCCCTCCTCAGCCAAGACATGCCATAGCCTGCTCATGAAGATAGAACTCATGCTGCCTTGTTCAGGTTTCCCCAGGAACTCCTGGCCTCCACAGCATGTGCTGGTGAGCAACCCTCTTAAGTGAAGCAGACCAAGCTCTCTCAGCTTGAGGGTGGAATGTGTTGTGTGCTCTGCCTTGGCCCTGCTTCCAGTCCTCTTGGTGTCCTGTCTCATCCCAACCACTAGAGATGACCTGGCAGCCGCTACCCTTGGCTTATGGCGCCTGGTGCCACTGATGTTCACAGTGAGGCTCTGGGAGACCCCTTTGGAACTCATGCTTGTTCTTTAGGATGGGGACTTGTGGGGCCAGCCTTGACCTGACGGGAGCGGGTAGTGGCCTCTAAGGACAGGCAGACCAGCTGACTGCATAACACAAGAGGTGTTGTGTTTTCTCCTTCTCTGTCCCCTCCCCAGTGTGGTTCTTCTTTTGGCTTTGCTTTCTGCGATCCTGGGCTGATACCCTTCGAATAGAACTGTCTCACAAAGCGTCATCACCTTCCTTGCTTGTTGACCCCTGCCCAGCAATGGCCTCCTTTGGGCACCTCTGGCCTCCAGCCTCCTTCCATCTTCTGCTCTTCCACAGGGCTTGGCTTCTATTATCCTCACCCTCTACCTACTCCCCAGCTGGCCTGATCTTCAGGTCTTGGGTTACTTCCTTTATGCTGATGAAATTCAAACAAAAATGGCTTTTGATGGAATTGCCCAGTCAAGGTCATGTCCACATCATCAGCGAGTGGTTCAAGCCTGAAAGCTGGGCAAGAGGAGCCAGGCAGAGGTCCATATTCAGCACTTTGGTTGTTCTCTTGACTACTGATTTCAATGGACTGGTTGAGTTTTGTCTGCAGTGGGTTTCAGGAGCCTTGGAGGTACAAAGCAGAAGGATTTGGATGAGGCTGGAACAGCACAGGTGTAACAGGAGTGTTGAGTTGCCTTCCTGCCTGAAACACAGGAAGCAAACAGGAACCAGTGGTCTCTCATCTTCCAAACACTCAGTAGAAACCATTAGGACATTCTGGTATATATATTTTTATGTGTAATTTGTAAAAATTATATTTTAATGAGGTTTTGTAGTCTTCTCTTTTGTTATAAAGTCAATTTCTATGATATAAATTCCTATTTGCATTTATGGTTGCATCCAACCAACCACTTTTTGGTGCCCCTTTCAGCTAAAAATGCTTATCAATAGCCATACTTTAGAGAATGAAGATCCAGAATTGCAATCAGAATGTGGATGAGTGCACAACTGCAACCTTTGTGTGTGTGGAGTTAAGTAACTGTCTAAAAGTTTGCCAGGGGACACTCTGTTAAGATGTGTGGTAGTGTTTATTTTTTCATATTGCATTTTCTTCTATTAGGGAAGAGAACATTCTGCTGTGTTTACTGCTGTGTTCTTCTTTGTATTTCTGTGTCCTTGCCTCTGCCTGTTTTGCTTTTGGAATGTTCATCTTTGTTTTTCAGCTTTGAAAGCCCTTACCTGCAAAGGAGATCAGCCTTTCCGAAACATGATGCAAATGCTTCTCCCACTCGTGTCTGTTCTGATGAACAGACAGTTCTTCCTCCTCTCCAAATTAGGGCCATCAATGCCTCCCATTCTTTTGAGGTGAACTTTTCTTGAGAAAGACACAGCTCTTAAGAGAGTTTTGATAGGTGTTTATCTCTGTGCAGAATACACACTATTCGGGCAAAGCATCACTTCCTTCACTCCGGAAAGTTACTCCCTGATCTTCCCCTTTAACTCTCTGCCCACTCACCCCAGAGAATCACTCATTGGATCTCTATTCTCATGGCTTACTGGTTGTTTCCAGAATTCGTGTTAATAGACCCAAGAGTGCTCCTCTTCTAACTTCAATATGATGTTTGTGACATTCATTCATCAGTACGTTTGGTCTTTTCATTGCTGGGTAGTATTCTCTTGTATTTATTCTGCAATTGTAGATTATTCATTTCCCGACGGTCTGAACTCAACATTTTAATTCACTTAAATTATTATTTTCCTTTATTATTGATGGTATACTTTCTATTCCATTGCCCAACAGAAAAGCCCAGTTTTTATTTTTCTAGACAATTTTATTTTTCTAAACAATTTACTCCATTAGATAAAGCAGAGTTTGGTATTCCTTTCTCAAGTAGTGGGTAGTCTTCCATTGCATACTCTTGCCGACTTGAAAAGCCATTTATTGTATTTCTAAGTCCTCACAGGGGTAATATTAAAAATAGTAAACAACTGGTATGGTACAGGCCCTGGCCATCCTGGAAGGCTGCCCACCAACAGATGGGGCAGCCCACTGTCCAAGTGCTGGCTGGGTACCATACCAGCCGCGAGCTCATACATTTGTTTAGAGCTGTGTCTTTACTATTATTTTCCACCCATGGAGGACGGTATTGTGTGTCACACAACTACATAATTCTATTTTGTGCAACAGTTTCCTTCTCATTACTCTTTTGACTGATCAGATGCATATTCTCCCAAATAAACTATTCAATGTTATCAATTCCCAAGTCCTACTGGAGATTCAGTTACATTTATCCTTGGACTTCCATCCTGTGTTCTAACACATATACACACTTGGCCTAACGCCTACCTCTTGTTCAATGCCCACTACTGCTATTGTACACTTATTTTACACCTGGCCATTTTGCAGATTTTGAGTCCTTGTCTTCATTTCTGATCTACGGATTGGTTCCTTTAACACTGGGACTCATCTTCAAGGTTGGCCTTCCGTGTAAAGTGCCCTTTGGCAAGCCCCAGGTCCACAGTCCCTCGTGTTAGGGTTGTAACTCTGCTTTTCATGCGCTGCTCACAGCACTAAGGACCTCCTATGTATGGAGCTCCTTCTTTTTGGCTGTGGACACGTCTGACAGACATATTCTCGCAGGCTCCTTAAAGTGTCTCCTTTCCAGAAGTCAGGTGGGATTCTTGCAGTTGTTCACAGGTACCCACTTTCCTGCAGGGCCTCTGAGGACTTCAAGTGAGGTCAAACTCTACATTAATTCCACCTAGGATTATACTCTGACCTTTTGGCTCAAGCATAGCGGTCACTTTTTGTAAAATCAATTTTAGTAGATCTAGGTGCAGGATTTTATAGTCTCCCGACTACTGCATTTTCAGATAATTCTGTTGAACAATGATAAGCCTTTATTTTTATCATCTGTTTGTCAGCTGGCTGTCGCCAGCTTTTTACCTGAACGTGGATGCACCTTTTCTGTGCAGCCAGCCAGACTAGATAACTATGGTCATCTTCAGCTTTCTCTATTTCAAAATTCTGTAATTCACTCTTTGGTTTAAAATTGATCCCTAGTAAGAGCGTTTCCCACAATGAGCAAAATTTTCTGATTGCAACTTATTTGGGTACGTTTAAAATAATGTCAAGCTGTGCATTTCGTTTTGCACTCTTCGTACTAAAGGGCAAGTTCTACACAGCCCTGCTGCCTGAAATCCCAGCCACTGTCGCACAGACGAAGGACGCTGGAGAAGTCGTGCTGCGCTCCCCAGGGAAACCCAGGGACCAGGCCAGCCAGGCAACTGGCCAGCAAACGCTCACTGACGCCTTTTCCCCGACCCGGTGGGCAACAAAGGCGCGCAGTCCCGGCCTGCAGACGGCCCAGCGCGACCACACGGGACCCTGCACCTCCCTGCGTTCCCAACACTTGGGCAAGGGACCGTGCAGCCAAGCCTAGCCCACATCAGCCGGCCTGCGGCCGCGTAGCCCTCCAACCCGCCAGACAGCTCTGCACCGCACCACGGGCCGCGCGCCCGCCGCTGGGCAGGGCGGGGCTAGCCGCGCCTGCGCACTCGCGCCACCGTCCTGCGTCCCCCGCACGCAGCCCACGTGACCCGTTCAAGATGGAGGCTGCTACCCGGCCCGGCTGGCCTCCTGCCGCAGCCTGAGCCCTCTGCGCGACCTCTGAGCGCGAACCAGGCTTGCAAGCACGCAGGGCTGGCCGCTGGCACCGCCACAGGCTGCCGAGCGGGCCTGGCTTCAGCCGGAGCCCGGCTTCCAGTCAGTAACCGTCCTGGCTCGGCCAGCTTTCTCTACCGCGAAGCGTAGGGCTCTGGCGCCGGGAGCGTCCTCCGGTATTCCCCGCCCCCGGAATTGACAGCGCTGGGAGCCAATGGGGTCCGGGATGTGTGCGGGGAGGCTGGCGGAGGCGGAGCCTTTCTGCAGTGCCCGGGGCCTCGGGCCGGCACTTGGGCGGCCGTGAGGCGGGAGTAGACCCTTACGGGCCAATGGAAGGGCGGCCGAGCGCTCGCGGAGGCGGGTGGGGGCGGGACCGAGCCGTAACTGACGCGCTCTTCATTAGAAACCAGTCGGGAGGAGGGCCCGCTAGGGGAGGTGACGCAAGGCAGCCGCGGCCAATGGCTGACGGGCCGCCGGCTAGGCGGGCGGGGCCGGGGCGTCTGACGGGCGTCGGGCGCGGCCTATCCCCGCGCGGCTCGGCGCCGGAGGGGGGAGCAGCATCATGGTTCAACGTGGGTCAATTTTTTGTGAATGAGGAGGGGAGGTTGTGGGGCCGCCGCCGCGGAGCACTGTCCCCGTCGCCCCCCGAGTCCGCGCGCCTGGCAGCCCGGCCGCCCGCGCAGCCGCCTCCGCCAACGTCGCC